AATAGTATCCAACCCTCATGAGTTTGTTACAATTCTCCCCCTTTCGATTTGGCTTCAACATATGCCTCAGTGTACCTCAACCAAAACCAAATTTACTTCCTCGTCAACAATACATCTTAGCACGAGCGTCAATCTTCTTATTTTGTAGAGTCTGTCCACCACCATGATATACTAGGAAGCGAGCCTCATTATTTTCTTTGCCTTCATGTCCTCCTCAGGAAAACACTATTTGGTTAAGTACTCAATAATGGGGGTCATCCATCTTTCGCCACTCTCAATCATCATAATCTCCCCTACTTTTGTACTTGGGCTATCAAAAGTTTCCTATATCATTGTTCTACTGAGGCCCAACTTTTTAGTACCGTGGAGCTTTGCTAGTAGGCCAGTCCATACATTTTCTTCTCGAGGAACATGTATTATCTCAAAAGACTTAAAGTATTTCACCATCTTGAGGATCCACTATAGATATTAAAACAGTAATGGTCTCTTTGTTTGATAGTCTCTCCTTACCTGGTTAATGATCAATTGAGAGTCACTTCTATATTTGAGGAGGGAAACTCCTACTTCGCAAGGTAACTTCATTCTTGCTATAAGAGCTTCATATTCGGCTAGTTTATTATTGTCCTGGAAGTTGAAACACAAAGACTGCTCCAATAGCACTTCACCGGGCCCTTCCAATATAAATCCCACCTTGCTTCCTTTAAGGTTGAATGACCTGTCCACTGATAAGAACCATAGTCATGGAGATTCTACCTCGACTGAAGTGCTAAACTTAACCAAGAAATACAACAAGGCTTGAGATTTGATGCTGATTCAGGGTATAAATGTTATGCCATACTTGATTAACTCCACCGATTAAGTCACCATTCGATCTGCAAGATTCGACATTCTCAGTACTTGTTTGACCGAATAATTGGTTCTAAAAATGATTTGGTGCTCCTAAAAATAAGGCCTAAATTTTCTTACTATAATCATGATTTCCAAAGCCAATCTTTCTATCTTTTGGTAGTACAACTCGGCCCCATTCAAGACTTTGATGACAAAATATACCGTTTTCCCATCCTCGCCTTCTTGAACCAAAACTGAACTTAGGGATTTCTCAGTGATGGATAAATATATGAGTAATAACATCCTTTCTATGGGAATAATAAGGATGGTCAAAGTTGACAAGTTTTTCAACCTTTGAAAGACCTTCTCACAATCTTCTGCCCATTGAAAACTTTTTGATCACGTAGAATAAGAATATGAAGAGTGCCACTATTCTCTTCGTCAACTGCTGTACTTTCTTTATTGAGGTCAGGCTTCTCAAGTTGATGATCGCTTGAAATTTATCCAGATATGCCTTTCTTCCCCACCTGTTTAACACAAAACCTAGAAAATTTCCCAAGTGCACCCCGAACGAACACTTATTTGGGGTTAACCCCATATATAATCTTCTAACCGACAATAGTGTCTCTTTCAAATCCTAATAATGTCGCCCCTCATCCGTGGTTTTGATCATGATGTTGTCGATATACACCTTAAGGTTTTGACCTATATGGTCAGAGAACACAATGTTTACGAGCCTTTGGAATGTTGCTCATGCATTTTTCAACTCAAAATGTGTGACACCATAGTATTAATTACTTATGTTCATCATGAATGCTATTTTTGGGGCGTCAGGGCTCATAATAATCTGGTTGTACCCATAATAGGCATCCATGAAACTCAATGTCTTAAAACATGATGCACCATTTATAATCTTGTCAATACTAGGCAGTGGGTACAAATCTTTAAGGCACACCTTATTAAGGTATGTGAAATCTACACACATCCTCCATTTCCTAGAGTTATTTTTTTACCATCACTATGTTGGCCAACCAAGTAGGATATTTGATTTCTTGGATGAACCTCGTTTCTAGCAACTTTTTTTCTTCTTCTGCCAAGACCAATCTTTTCTCTTCACCCTCCCTTAACTTCCTGTAGGCAAAGGTCTTTACTCTGGGTATTATGAACGACTGATGATATACCAGTTTTGGAGCTATCCCAGGCATATCTGTAAGTGCCCAGGCGAAAAAATCTGCATTTTCTTCCAACAATTGTACAATCTCGATCTCATCATCCTTTGGGAGTGCCATTTTGATTTGGATAGTTTGTTACTCCTTGAATCCTATATGAAAAACCTTTATCTCTTCCTTGGGAGTTAAGCTATACTTTAAAGGGTCTCCAAGGGCTCTGGTCTACATAGTAGATTTTGTTTGTGTCCTACATGGTTTTAATGTTAATCTTCTTCTTTAATCTTAGGTTGTTTCTGTAACACTGCCTTGCTAACTCATGGTTTCCTTTTATTACTCCAACTGACCCGCTGCTCAATGGGTACTTCATACTCAAATACAATGTTGATAAGAATTCCTCTAAGCATTGAAGGTCGACCTTTCTACTATAATGTTGTAAGGTGAAAGAGCATTTATCATTGTGTACCTTAATTGTATCGTCTTCACGCTCTCGTATATTTCAAATGTGGTTTTGATGGTGACATAACCTAGGACCTGGACTTGCTCGCATGAAAATCCTACTAGCGATCCTTTAAATGGCTGGAGGATTTCTGGGTCCAACTTTAACCCTTGGAAAGCTTCTCATTAGAGGATATCCGCCAAATGGGCAAGATCAAACATAACTCTTTTCACATTCCAATCATGGATTTAGAGGTTGGTTACCATGAGTTTGTCTTCATGTGGGGTTATATCTTTAGTGTCTTTGAAACATCTATCACCTATCGAGCATAATTTTCTATAACGAGTTGGATTCATAGTTACTCGTGAATTTGTCAGCTATCATATTCAATGTATGACATGCAATACATTTCACCGCTCTTCTTGCACGTTTTAGGCCCTCTTAGTTGGAAAGGTTCTTCCCCAAGGATCTTGTGGCGGGGATCTCCTTCTATAAGAGCCTCGATCACCATATTTTACATATTTCTATAGACAACCTCTCTATATCAACTTCTCGATCTATTGTTTCAAATGGTGACAATCATCGGCGTGGTGATCTCGCACCATGTTATATTTTCATCACTTGCTAGTGTTCATTCCCATCACATTCCCCTTAGGCGGGTAAGGTTTAGGAAGGATCTTTGTGTGGAAAACCTCTTGCAAAAATCTTTTCCCTTTTGTGTTTAACGAGGTGAAATACTCATATGGCCTTCGATTTATCTTGAATGACCCTTTCTCTTAGGGGAGTGCTTGATCCCTATGCTTCCTTTGTCTGATGGATTCCGAAATTGATACTCCTTTCTCCTTAGCATCTCGCGACCTCTTATTTGCATTACTTTCCTCGTCTTTAATGTAACATTCTGCTCGCGCCATTATCTCACCCTTGTTGTCGCTAGTTTCTAGGATAAGTACTCGTTAAAGTGCCCCTTCCTGAGACCGTTCTAAAAGGCTCCCACAAACATTTCTTGATTGGGATGAGCGACTTAGATAGCTTTCTCATTAAAACGAGCAAGGTATATTCGTAGAGACTTGCCATGTCCCTGGGGGTACATTAAAGAGGCTATTGGTTGACACGTTATGTGCTTGCTACCGGAGAATCGATGTATCATTTTCCCCGCCAAATCTTGGTAAATGGGTTATGGAGAATCTGAGAAGGCTCATATACAAACGTAAAGTGACATTCTTTAGCGTGCCTGCCATTAGTTAGCACTTCAGTGAGCCAATAACTTCGATAATGTCCTTTTGAGTGTTGACTGTTATGATGTGCTCACGCGGACCACTCCTCCCATCAAAGGTGGCCAATGAGAGTGGCTTGAAATTATCTGGAACTTGGTCATCCTAGATTTCTACCACCAGATGTCGAGGATCGATCAAATCTTCTATATAATTTTCATATGGTTAAGGATGATGTTGATTCAGCCGCAAAGCGTGCACGCTGCTTTGCAACAACTCGTTTCGGTGGTGCAGATTTTCCATAGCGGGGAGTAGTTCCTCCATAATAGTATGTAATTCTATATTGCTTTTGCTCGCCCTTGTCATGTATGGGTGACGAGCTCGTCACTTCACAATTTTGTGTGGCCCATACAAGTTTTACTAAAGTCCTACAGTGAGCGGTCAAATATTTACATAAAAAACACTAGTTTGAATAACTCATCTGATGCTGGTTAAAAAAAGCCACAATTGGTGACTTCTTTATATAATTCAGGAAGTCTAGTCTATCCCTTTCAATTAAAGTGTATTTCTATTTATACTGGTTTACTTAGCCTAAGAGCATCTTTAATGGGAACAACTAAATTGGATGAACTAAGTTATTTCACGTGGGTCCAAATTGACACGAAGGATTTAAACAATCCAAAATTGAATTAAGAAATTTTTACTTCAATGGTGATTGTTTATAAGGAATTCAAACTTGATATTAAAAGGTTAATAAAAATCTATTATTTATATTAAATAATTAATAAAAATCTATTATTTATGTTAAATAATGAGTTAGAGTACGTTGCTTGTGTAAAGCACGTAAACTAGTTTTAGAGCATCACATATGCCATGTCAACTCTACTATAATGCAAATTCCTTATTACTAACGTAAGCTATACAAAATTTTGGTTTAACAACTATACGTTAAAGTTGCTCTAATACGAGACAATATCTATAAGTTCGATTAATTCTTATGCGTGTACATTTCATTAGGAACACTCAATTAGTCAAACAATATTATTTTTACAATTAATTTTTTTTAAATTTTATTATGTATTTCATTAATGAAAAATATAGTTTTTTTTTTCCTGAGGAAATATTTAAAACACAACGTGAATTACAATCAAGAGGTACCAGCAAAGTTAAAATAAATGATTTATTTCTTACTTTGGAATAACAATAATTTATTTTTTACTTATGAAGACAAAGTTTAGTATATTTTAAATATTTATTTATAGAAGTATTTTAAAATGCGCAACTTCTTAGACTTTTAGTTATCACTTGTTCGATTAGGATATTCAATTCAACAAGAAGAAAGAGTTCATCTGAAAAATGCCTTCACGTTGTGAAATTTGCTGCGAAATTATGATCGCCGTCTTGATCCCTCCACTCGGCGTTTGTCTCCGCCATGGTTGCTGCACTGTACGTACTCTCTCCATCACTTCCATTTGGATCTGTTCCTTACACTTGTTTTCCCCTTTTTTTCTTTCTATTTTTCAGTTATGAGTCGAAACGAGATGAATAAAATTATCAATCTGAAATTCATGATACTGTGATTAGTTTATTGTTATTTGTTATTACAATTCTTCGGTTATGAGTGTGATAGATCGAAGATTTTGATGTTTTTTTAATTTTATTTTAATTTTATTTTTATTTTGCAGGTTGAATTCATCATTTGCTTGCTCCTTACAATTCTAGGTTATATTCCTGGTATAATTTATGCTCTTTATGCAATTGTCTTTGTTGATCGTGATCAGTACTTTGATGAATATAGGCGTCCTTTGTATGCACAAACACAATACTGACACGTATAGTGTGTGCTTCTCTGCAAATCATTGTCTATTTTGAGTCTCATATCTTGTGTCAAACTCTTGAATATGTAATGGACGCCACTTGAATTTTATTCTTATATGTAATTCTCATTGAGATTGGACTTGGTAGATTTTGAATTGCGTTATTTGTTTGGTTGTGTTTTAGATACACTATTGTGAAAATTATATGGTAACGTGATTGTTGATTGTATAGTTATATATAAGTACTTATGCAATCAACTGACATAAATCGATATTGTTTGGTTGGACCCTATCACCAGGGTTTGAAACGGTTGTGTGTGAGTTTCTAGTAGTTATTAACATTTCATCTACATACCCAAAATAAAAGTACTTATGCGATCAAATTATGAAAATTAAGTGGTTAGTTATATTGTGGAAGATAGTGTGATGGAGATTAGGATTGTTGAAGTGGTGTTGATGACTAGCTTAATAGTTGGTTAACTACTAAGAATACATCTATTCCCCAAGTAATATAGTAACGACAAAACAATACTTCTATTTCTCAAGTTATGTAGTAATATCTGGTATAATCTTCAGTTCTTGTAAGGAGAGTTGACGACAATTTGTTCAAACTGTTTAACGAGAAGATTGATGACAACCAAAAAGTCTTTATAACTTTAAATGCCTAAGACACTAATATGTCATGAACAATTTTATGATTTGGTAAATTGTGGAGGATCTAGATCTCTCTATTGATTTTTTGAATTTAGTTTATCAATACTCTTGAATGTTTTAGTATTGGTTTCTAACTTTTGTCATATTACTTTCTAGTTTGAATATATATAACCTGATAGAAGTATAACCAATATTTTTATTACACTTAGCTTTGTTCTTGAAATCTATTAAGTACTACTAGTGAGTGAATGAGTGAACTTGACAGGTAATTTTCATAACAAAGACTGGATTCTTCTTTAGAGTGAAGCATGAATTTTGAAGGCAAAACATATGTCAATTGTTACATTTTTAGCTTTTCTTTTATCCTAAATCCATTTTACCAGGTAATAGTTGGCCAGTCATGGGCCACCAGGATAAGTTTGTTTATCTATCAAGAAATTATTCCAAATTCTCAAATAATTTATTATCCAAGTTACTTGGGACAAACCAAAATTTAGTTAGTACTTTGGGTTGCTAGTTGATTTGAACCTCCAAAGCTTTCACCTGTGTTTAAACTGTTATTCTTTTTATTTCATGATTGATTCTTAAAAGTGTAAAATTGATTTTTACATATTTAGTTGTTTTTATGCCAAACCTTCAACCGTGCCACCATACATGAACGCTGCTACTGCTTCCACATCTATACTAAATTGTCCTGCCATGCACTAACAGTAGGACAACATTCAAACTATCGAGCCCAACAAATCTAAATTAGACTATGTAGAAAAGGGTTGGTGTAAGATAGAAAAAAGACCAATCATTGATGTAAGGTAGAAAACGACCAGAAAAAATGAAAAATATGAAGGAAATACCTTGACTTTTTGAACCGTGTGTATCTAGTTGTCAAGTTGGAATCCATTTGGCGGTTGAAGCATAATTTACTATAAACTAACGTTATTAATAATCCATGGTATTTAGAAGAGAAGACTTGTATTGTAGGTTTACTTACTATATTTTGTATTAGACTAAGTAGTTATTGTCATGCGATAATAACAGAAGAAGTATTTTAACACATTCTTTAACATCCAAAAAGTAACTTTGTATTCTAATAAGGAAAAATAGAAAGAGGGTGAGAAGGCATCTTTGTGTTTAAGACAAATAACTATGTTTATTCACATAGAGTTTTACGAAAAAGATTAAGGGAAATTTGAAGAAAAAAACAGCGATTCTAGAACTCTTGGTTATTCTGCCGAGATCTTGCAAAAAATAAATGATGAAAATACACAAAGTTTGTATGTAATTGTTAAATGACAATAAATCTCTATATATTTTGTCATGTTATTCTTAGAATTTTTACAACGTATCTTTAAATTTTCTAACATTTGTTTTATTCATAGTTGTTCACAAAATTTTAGTGCCATAGTTTTGAATTTTTCTACAGAATTTTCATAGAGCAACTATACTTGCTTCTTATTTCTCAAAGCAACAATGTTTCCACATAGAAAGTATAATAATTTGATGTAAACCTCCATAGTTAGATTTCCCACCTCTTTCAAATAAGAGTCCTTGTAACACCATTTTCTATCCCACAATTAAAAGGCACATTTATAAATAAATCATCAGAGTAAAATATTAAACTCAACAATAAATCACCTCAAAGGGCGTATATTTCTCAAAACTCAAAATAAGTCAATGCTCAGTGTATAACGGGTTTTTCCAAAGATATCAAAATTTGCTCAGCAGAACTCACAAGGCATATTCCAAAGTTTTCCTTATACTAAAAGACCCCAACCTGATGTTACACTATCAGAGCAAGATCCCAACCCGATGTTACACTATCGGAGCAAGACCCTCTAAGTTGACCAAAGGCCAACAACTCAAAACTTCAAAAGTCCTCATCGGCATCCACGGCTAAACCTGATCATCTGCACATTACCCACGAGAATGTAACATTCAAACAGGCAGGGTGAGTAAAACGATTCATAATAATCAATGTATGAAAATCAACATATAAAATGGCGTCATAGTCATATTCAACATCATCATATTCATCAATAGGTCTCCAAGGCTACAACATCATAAATTATTTCAAATCACTCATAAATGGAAATGCAACAAGACTCAATGCATGTGGTACCAATCATCACAGCGTAATAGACACAGAGCCATCAACCCTCCATAGATCCCCATCAATAGGGTCGATTCTACTAGAGAACTGGAGCACATCAAAACACTTCACATCTGCACACTAGAATTGAAGCCAAAGTAATCGAGGTCCTGAACCGAAGTCCGGATGCACATGAATGCATGACGCACACGTCACAAATCATCCTCATAATAACATCATAGGTGCATCATCATTCATCATCATCATCAAAATCATATCAGCATAACTCATCATAATAATCACCATTATACATCATGTCATCATAGCTCATCATAATAATCATCATCACATATCATGTCATCATAGCTCATCATAATAATCATTATCATACATCATGTCATTGTAGCTCATCATAATAATCACCATCATCAAAATCATCATCATCATATACACATCACATAGAATTCACAATCATACTCATGTTAATTCATCATATTATCACATATTAATCACATAGAATTCATAATTATACTCATGGTAATCATCATATTATCGCATATTAAACATGGAATTCCCAGTTATGCTCATGATAATTCCTCACAGAAATCACATAATCAAACATGAAGACATCGCTGCACGCAATCAACATTCGCGAAACTCTGCTACATTCGCTGGCATGTTCGCTAGGCGAGTTTCTTCGTTGTGCGAAGGATTCTTCGCTAGGCGAGTCTGGGAACAACATTGTTCGCTGTGCGAAGCATTCTTCGCTAGGCGAACAATGCGATGACAGTAAATTCTGCTACGCACCAGAACTTAATTCAATCCAAAAGTCCATACGATTCACTTCCCCAATGCCTCCAAAACATCCCTAAATCATCCCTAAGGTCTTACGACGATAAAGGCGCAAAACCTACGGTTCATTAGGCCAATCCCGTATCATATTCACTCCTTAAACCACAAATTCCTTACAATTACCCTGCATGCATCAGAGTTACTCACTATCTAATATTCCTATCCGTTCAGGGTTAGACAAATAACAAATTATGGTTTTGGCCACGAAGGCCTAACTTTCCCTTTTCCCCAATGAATTCCACGGTTAGATTCACAATAATAGATTTAGGCCACGATGGCCAAAGATAACTAATTCTCATATCCATCCTCAAAACTCTTAAACCTTAAATCGACCTTAAATACATTGAAAGTTACACATGGAAAATCATGAAGGTAATACTCCCCATACCTTAATTGTCTATCAAGGTATTCTCAAATATTTCAGGGAACCTTTCGAAGTTCTTGCCTCCAATCTTTCTACTTAGAGCTCTGACCTCAATTCTTTTCACGGTCTAACAAATGAATCATAATCTCTTCACAATTTTCTTTTTGTTAAACCTAGTCTTGGGCCTCACAATTGGGCTTTTCCCAACTTACGCTCACTAACTCCTCTTAAATATCCAATTTCCCTTAGTCAACTTGTATTTGTTTTAATTAATAATAATATAAATATATTCATATTATATACTATTATTCAAAATAAATAACCCAAATTCCATTAATTTTCAATATTCCACAAAACCACCGAAAATCATCGAAATGCGAATATTCTTATTTAAATCAATTAAATAAATATTTCAATTAAATTTGGGGTGTTACAACTCTCCCCCACTTAAAGAATTTTCGCCCTAGAAAATTACCTCAAGGAAACAGAGTCGGGTACGACTCCCTCATCTGATCCTCACGCTCCCAAGTTCAACTTTCTCCAGCTGGTCCTCCCAAAACTACCTTTACCAAGGCAATCTCTTTACTTCGCAGTTGCTTCACTTCTCGTTCATCAATCCGAACAGGTAACACCTCAACAGTCAGATCATCTCTCATTTGTACATCATCCATCTGAATCACATGCGGCAGATCTAGAATGTATTTTCTCAACTGAAACACATGAAACACATCATGTAAATTCACAAGCGACGACGGTAAAACAATCTGATATGCTACTTTCCCCACCCTCTGCGAAATCTGAAACGGACCAACAAAACGCGATGTGAAGTTTCGAGACTTCAAAGCTCGGCCAACACCAGTTACCGGCGTAACTCTCAAAAACACGTGATCCCCTCTTGGAATTCAAGTGCTTTCCTCCTCTTATCATGGTAACTTTTCTGACGAATCTGTGACGCTTTCATCTTTTCTTGGATCATCTTGATCTTTTCAGTCGTCTCCTGCATAGTCTCAGGTCCGAGTACAACACTCTCGTCTGACTCATACCAACACAAAGGAG